GCAGACGACAAGCAGGTCGGACTCGCACAGGGCGCCGCGCCCCTCTCGCCCACCCACCCGCCCATCCCTCGTATCCGCGCTCCCATGCACACCACCTCCCTGCCCGCCCAACCCCGACCTCCCGCGCTCCGCCGCCTCAGGCGACCTTGCGAGACATGTGGTGGAATTGCGCACCCGCCGCGGCCGAAGCCACACTTGAAGCCACCACCGCCGCTGCGAGCAGATACGGGCGAGTACGGCTCTAGCGTACTTGAGCCCTGGTGTGGACGATTCTTTTGCGGTATCTTGATGTATCTCTCCATATCTGACCATATGCCGCCATATCCCGCCATATCCCGCCATATCCCGCCGTATCCTGCCCTATCCTGCCCGCCTCACCGGCCGAGCAGCCCGGCCTCTCTCCGCCGTCCGCGCTCCGGCCCCGCACAGAGCGCGAGGACCGAGGAGCAAACAAAAAAGAAACGTAGACTCGTTGTGCTCGAAAAGGGGATTGTCGTTGAAGAAGGCACACGAGCTGACACGCGAGCTGACACATGCACCCGCTAACACATGTCGCCCGCAGCGCGCTCACGTGCCCTCACCAGTTCACCTCAAATGCCCGACCCGGCGAGCCACTCCCGGAGCTCGGCGGAGCCAACCTCGAACGAGTGCGGGAAGACGATGGACGGCTCCGTCCCGTCCGGCGTTGCCGGTGGGGTGCGCAGCGGCTCGTAGCCCTCCTCGGTGTCGCCAGTCAAACGTGCATGGGGCGCACTGCCACTGGTCGAGCTGCTCGAGCGAGATGTGCCCTTCATCTTGATCGCCTGGCGCCAGCGCGCCTCCAGCTGCTTGGCGGCGGGGTTGTTGGCATGCATATGCTGCCAGTGCGAGAAGAGCTGTGAGGGCTTGCAGCTCCCGTTCATCCGAAAAGGCCGTGCGTGCAGCGGGGCCCGTCAAAGGGGCAGCCGGATGGCGCAAGGGTTGGGCAAGAAATTTGTCGCCCATCACCATGTCGGTGAGCTTGCGCATCACGAGGAGCTTCTTGGCCCACTTCTCGGGTTCTTGTGGAAGATCTCGCTCGCCTTGTCGGTCCACTCGCATGCGGTGCCACGGCCGCGGCGGAACCTCTGCTTGCATCTCACCTTCCGAGCTGCTGCCGTCGCTGTGTCGTGATCCCGCTTGTGCTTCTTACGGTTGCGCTTGCGTTCGGCGCTCTTCTCCTTCTTGTCCTTGCGATGCTTCATCGATGATGACGAGCTCTAAAGAAAAAAGAAAACACACAACCCAAGGGAGGGGTTGGAGGACGGCACGCCGCCACCACACAGGGATTTAAATGCGCGAATAAATAAATAAACAAAGAGCTGGACAAATACCAAATTCCAAATCGCAAACATAGAAACCCAAACACAGGCGGCGACGTGGCATACGAGCTCATAGGAGAAGGAGGCGCACAACTTCCAAGGACGCACGAAATAAATAAGCAGACATCTCCTCCGATGATCGCCTCGAGACTATAATACTAGAAATCGCGCCTCCCTCTCCCTTGTCTCCCAGTAGCTAAAAGTACACGTACGTAATACGAGAATACGAGAAGGATACCTAGGTACGCAGCTGCGAGACGCCTATAAAGACGTCGCCGAAAACTGCGGGCAAGAAGCAACGAGAATCGGAAGAGCAAGAGGAGGAGGATGCTGCGGCGATTGCTGAGCATGATCGCTGTGATGCCTCGACCGCCGGGAGCGTCGGCGCTGGCATTTCGCGCTGAAGGCCAGCTGTTGGCGGTGCTGCACATCCCGAAGGCCGCTGGTTCATCGCTTATTGCAGAGGCACGTCGGATGCCAGGATACAGGCTTGCAATCTGGCTCCGCACCACCACTCGAATTGCGAATGCTGCTTCCGCGCCATGTATCGCTCCGGCACATTCCACGTCACCATGCTGCGGTCGCCTCGTGCTCACATTCTCTCTCAGTACCTCTACAGCGCCAACTCCACCTGGGGGCAGCGAAACTCGAAGGCGTTCGCAAAGATGCACCCTTCGGCGATGAAGATGCCCGCCATTGGCGCGAACGGCGAATGGCGTGAGCCATACCTCAAGTGGCTGCAGCATTACGCGCGTCTCCGAGGTGACGGGACGGCAATGATCGAATGGACACCAGCAGTCGGCGACTATTTGACACGTACAATCCAAAAGTCTTCAGGCACGGGTTCTGTCTTGCACACAGACTGGATACGATCACCAAGACTACATCGGCAACGCAGCGCATCATGCATCGCGCTCGGATCCCCCACCGTACTATGGCGCCAATCGCATGCTGGCGCTTGAGGCCCTAGGGCTCATCCAATCAGTGGGAGTGGTGGAGCTGTATCGTGAGTCGTTGTGCCTCATGGAGTTTCAGGTCGCGGCAATCTGCCGTCTGGCTGCACGTGTGAGGAGCCGCGTCGACGCCGTGAAGTGAAGAATGCCGGTGAGGTCTTGCACGATGTCCGCCAAATATCTGACAACGAGGAAGAGGCGAAACTCATGGACGTATTGGCTGAGCCAGACACACACGTATACCGCGACGTATGGTCTGCGTCACGTCGAGACTATGACCGGAAAGAGGCTGCTTGCATGCCTCGATTGGAAGGAGCTGAGCTCCTGGATTGCGTACATGCACATGCACATGTATCGAGACCATCATGGTCTCAAAGACCAGCATGATCTCAGCGCTGAAGTTGGGGAGGCTACAACCTTGCGAGCGTTGGGACAAAACACCTCCTCGTCAAGTGTACATGAGCTTACTGCCACGGCGGTAGCGACGCGTGCGTCCCACGATAAAGCAAGCGATCCAGTTTCCTTGAGGCAACTAGTAGGACAACGAGGGAGCCGTCGATATTTTATTATTGAGGTTGAAATTACTCCCCATAGGAAAGAAAAATGCCCCAAAGCTGATAGATGCAAATGCATACTCTCGATTCAGAGGAATCATCCTATCTCCGCATGCTGCAGATTGCAAGGCGCGGTGTGATGTGCATACAGTGGGGGTCCGAGGTGACATTTTCAGGCTGGGAACCGAGCAAGTGCGCTCGCCGGCCAAAGTGGGGTCGCGGGTGGCCATGCGAAGTGGTTTCGCGCACTGCCCGCTGTAGCCCCCCCGAAGCGCCGGAGCGTGACCGAGTGTCGCCCCATGACCCCCGGCGCCGGCCCGAGCGCTGAGACCGAATGTGAAGCCAATGCGCGCGCCCCAACCCCCAAGCGCGGCACTCCTCGGCTACGGCATGCTGACACGGATCCCTATCCTCTCAGATTGCTATCGATCGGCGATATTGGATCTCGCACGCGACGTCGACGACTGACAGGTAAACGCACTTTGTCAATGTGCAGGTCGAGCTACCAACCGTTGCGGAGCGGTTCAGCCTCGGAAGCCATACTATGCAGCGGTGATTAGGTGGGAGGGCATGCGCTCGCACACATGAGTCCGGGAGCTCCCCGCCGGCGCTTGGTGCCCCAGCCAGCTCCGCCTTGCCGCGGCCCCTACGCAGGCGTCCAGCACCGACGTCGTTTGCGAGCGTCGGGTGTTGGCTGCTCTCTAGCCCCGTCACCCACCGCGCCGTCACCGTCCGCTTCGCGGCGTGCGAAACGCTCGCGTCTCCGCGTTTCCCTGCGCCGCCACCAGGGGGACGCTTGCGCCTTGCCCCCTGGCCTGACGCGCGACCCTGCGCAGATGGCGCGCTCCGGCACGGACCGACGGAGCAGCGACCGCCCGGGCAGTCGCTGCTCCGCCCGCGCACCGCTGCCGCCGTCGCCGCCGCCGCTCCGCCCTTTCCATCAGTGTGTCTCGTGTGTGAGAGTGCACTGTCTGTCACGCCTGTACCTGCGAGCTGCGTCTCTCCTCCGAGGCTCAGGCTGTCCTCTCACTCTGAGATATATCTGTCTCGCATATCGTCTGAGAAGTCAAGTCTCACGAGAAAAGAACGTCAAACTCTCTCCTGTCGAGGTGTCGGCTGTCGCGTGTCGTGTGCGCGCGGCGATTGTAACCGGGGAGGCCTGCGCAGCTTCTAACGATGCACAGAAAACGGGCCACACAAATGCCGTAAAGGACAGGCGCGGGACGTGAGGAGATGCGCGGCCGACACCCAGCAGCGGCTCTGCGGCGGGGAGGGGGGAGACACACACAGGAAGCACGATGCGTACAGTGATCGCGTGTCATGCGCCATCACCGACGTCGGGCGGGAGAGGAGCTCCAGCCAACAGTAGTGGCGAGCCAGCCTGCGCTGCACGATGAAATAGTACTCGTGCTGACGCATCCTCGCCCGAGTCATATTCCAAGTGCCCTGCGACAGCCCGCGTGCGACGGGAAGAAGAGGTGCGAGGCTGAGAAAATAAGAGCTTGATCGCGCCACCAACGTCAGCGTCGGGCGCAGTGATGAGCTCGAGCAGCTCTCGTCGAGCAAGCTCCGCCTCCGAGCTCTCGCAGCAGCCATGCGCGTGCGCGCAGCCCAGATTCTCGCTCAGCGCCTCCGCCTTGGGGTTTGAAGCAGGTCCGCCGTAGCGCTCCGCGCCTGCGCCGGCGGCGGGCGGTGTAGAAGGCCGCTCGCGATGGCTCCGTCGTGTGCCTCGACCGTCCGACCTCAAGTGGTGACTACCCTCGCTGTCGCGCGGCCGCTTGGCAGCGGCGCCGACGCTGCCGTTGAGTCTGTCCGTGGCCGCCGCGTCACTCGGCACGGAAGCCTCCTTGCCGGTGGACATGCCGGGGGGGCGTGAGGGCCTGGAGGGTGACACAGACGCACAGGGGAGCGCGCGCCGCCGAAGTGGTTTGGCGCACACCTCGGACGAGGAGGGTGGCCACCCCTCGGTTCCCAGCCTGAAGAAGTGGCCTCGGTCCCACCAAGCAACCATGATCTAGTTACTATTGTACACCACGACCCTCATTTCTTTAGCCGCAAGGGGCTATGGATTCAGGCAGATTTGCTTGGACTTGTTCAAGGCGCAGACACAGCAGAAAGCAACTGGTTTGCGGAGGCGTGAATCCTTTAGGATTCTCGCCCGCTCTGCTGAGGGGAGGGGACGGTCGACTCTACTCTCAGTCTTACCATTCATGGACAATAGTGTCTGTGACGGCGGTCACATTCACAGCGAGGTCAGTTCACAGCCGAGCAGCCGATCCTGACACGCTTCACTTTCACGGCCCCGCCGCGGCTCGAGCAAGGTCGATGGCGATCGATGAGAATCTATTGTACAACGACTCGTCGTACCAAAGTGACCGAAACACCGAGACAACCTTGAAGCGCACACTTGAGGCTGCAAACGTACCCGTCTACACGACGGACCTTTTGCCAGTGGTCGACACGAGACCCTGCATGTGCAATGGAACGCACGTCCAAAAGTGGTGTCACGTCTTGCCCCCAAAGGATTGCAATCCGATGGAGTCAATGAGCCATGGTGGTGCCGGTACGCTGCTACAGCCCAGGCAAAGGGCACGTGGGCACATTGCCACGGCGCGAGTGCATCAAAGCGCGCAGGCACTGGCGGCCATGTTCCGAGCTGAGGA